CATAATATTTTATCATGGAAAAAAAATAAAATCCATGGTAACATAATACAAATGAGGTGTTTTACTATTAAATTGTGAGGCTCAGTCTCACCTCTACACAGTGTCAACCTGGCCCTGCAGGATAGCAAGCAATCAACTTCAAGGTCTCAGCCATTTTTTTTTTTTAAGATTGAGGTCTTATGAAATTTGTATTTAAAATCTTTAGTTAAGCATTTTTTAATGAAATAGATAATAAAGCCAATGAAAGAAATAACAATATTAAAATAAAATTTTAGAAAATACATATTACTGACATAAAATGTATAATTATAGCATAAATGAAATTATTTAATAACATTTATTATGCTTTTATTAATTCCTTTAGATCCCAGACTGACAATTTCACTTTAATGAAAAAAGAAAAGGAAAATACCTAAACAATTTACGACTCTGTTTAAGGCACTCAATGTTTTGTATCAGTTAATTAGTATAAATAAAATTATAAGATCATGAGAGAGCTAAAATACAGTACCTACATAATATATATTTTATCAATAAAAGAGTAATGTAATATGATAACCCAGTATGTACTTTTTTTTATTATTCTTAACATGATAAACAATTCAAATGTATGGGTTATATTAAGCATTACAAAAATATTATTATCTTATAGTTTGAATTTTTAAATTCATTAAGCAATCTATTAAAGTTTATTAATTTTTTCATCATTCATAATATAATTTTCATTATACAGATCAAATTAAAAATATGAGAAAAAAAATCTTAGTTCCACCCTAATGTATCTACCATAAAAACGCATTAATTAAGAAAGTAATGTGACTTAGTATATTGGTACATGACACTATTTCACTATCACCTTTACTGTGATCTATTTACTTGTAAATTGTTATTCGCCAAATTAAATTGCATGGCTTTAGTAAAACAATAAATTTCAGTATATGTAGCACTTTTATTCGTCACTTCGCATTAGTCATTAAGTACTACAGGATACTACACCGCATGTGTGTTATTTCTGTCTAACACACATGCAACATACCAAATATAATATGTACTTGATATTATTAGTCTTTGAGCTTTGATAATTATTGCCATTAGATTAGTGTGATAGTTAAGGTTGATTGAGGAACATGTGTTTTTATGTATGGCAATACCATTAAATAAATAATATAAAGTACTATACCTCTTCTTTACATTTACTCTTGCTCACTACAGCATTATTATTGTTTTCAACATCAATCAAATTAATTAAACAATTGCATTGCAATAAAACATTATCAATAGTGGCTTCAAGTTCAATGATTAAATGATAAATTAAGTTTTCTGAATCCAAAAACATCTGTAAAAAAAAAGAAATATTTTTAATTTATTAACTTAATTTTTATTTGAAAATGATATATTATTCTCACTGAGTTCTTAATAGCTAAATAAGGTAAAACAGAAGGTCTCGAACTTTTTTGGGTGAACTCCAAGTATTTGTTTCTTTCTATAGCTACTTGTCTTTCCAGATCACTTACTTCAGTCCTACAACATTTTTAATTAGATTCAAATCAAATAATAACTAAATATTTATTCCAATTTAAATACTTAACATTACAAGATTAAAAAATTAAAATTAATTATTACATTACATAAATAGAATATATAACTAATAACTATAACTATAATATAAATTATAATTATAATTTTTTATGTAATATAACTATTATAGGATAAGAATGCTCAAATTCACAGATGAATATTTATAAGATTATAACTGTGCCACCAAAAATTATCTTAGGTAGGTAAGGTAGTAATTGCTAGAATATAATATAAACTAGTACTTGTTCATACTATTACCAAAGAATAGTGATAATTGCTGGTAGGTTAGTTAACAGTATTAATAAGCAAATTTGGACATTTTCATCCTGAATGGAGTAAAAACTACAAATAATGTGTATTTAATACTAAAACACTAAAATATAATCATTTTACCTTATATCTAATATTTTTTGTTTTTCATCATTCAAAATTATGTTTGATGATTCCAATACAATTTCTTTATCAATATGTTGATCAACAAAATTTAATCCAAAAAGCCAACCTAAAAAAATTATACAATTATCATTATTTAAGTAATATAAAATGTTGGGTAGTTAATTTAACTAAACCTGTAAAAGTTGTGACAACAATTTCTGGAATACCAAAACTTCTTATAGCTCCACCTTGGATTGAAGTTATACTCTCTGAACAACTCTAAAATAATTTAACATTTATAAATAACACATTGACATTGAATCATAAAATATATTAAAATTACATATTTATATTTTTCAATAGGGACAGAATGTGATTCTAATGAATAAACCTCAACAGAACCACTTTGGCGACCGATTAAAAGATGATCCTCTCCATTAAATTCATAACAATCAATACATGTTACGGCTCCTTGTTTTGATTGAGTTACCAGTTCCCAAAGAATACTAGTAGAAGCATTTCTAACATGTAAATTAAAAATTAATTCAAGTTTTAGAATTAGTATAACCTAACTAATCAGTATTTAAAATTAAAATATACTTTTCTATTTTTAGAAGTACAACATGACCACTTTGCAGTCCCACTAATACTTCATTTCCATATGAACCTCCGTTGTTTTTCATTAAATGCAAGCTAATTGGCTCTGATGATAAATAAAATATTTCTTTTACAGTTGAACCTTCAAGTATTCGTATACACAAATCTGCACATGCTAGAATAGGCATTACACCTTGCATCTAAATAAATATGTTTACTCAGACAACATTCAATTAAACAAAATCATAATGATAGTTTATAGTTTATTATACCTTTATTACATCTAATGTTATAATGCTATTAATTAATTCTGGACATAAATAAGTGCTAATGTCTTTGCAATCATTAAAGTGACTAAATATATGTTTTCCCGACACCAAAAGTTCATTTCCAGTCACATACCTGTTAAAAAATATTTTTATGAATAGTAAATTCATTACTTACAGTTATTAACGCTGATGATGATTTATATAAAAAGTCCCAATACATATATTGTATTAAGTATAATTTATAAATTATAATGCATTTAATATTATAACCATTTACTTATATTCAATTTTATCACAATAAACAAATTATACATCAATTATTTTCAGAATCCACTCACATGCATTTAATTGATTCCAATAATCCAGTATCAAAACTTAGAAACATTCGACCCTTTTTAGTATAGCCACGAACAGATGTACCCATTGACAAAAATATTTTATCTTGAACAGTACCTTGGAAGGTATTAATTATCTTGATTAATTAACATGACTTTTAATTAGACTAATAAATTGATTAGATACCAAGAGCTCCTCCTAAACAAACTTCAGTTATTTTTTCTAAAGGTAATGTTTTGAATAACATGTTTATTTTCCCTTTTCTAATTTGAAACATTTGTACAATTCCTTCTTGATCGCCAACAATAATCTACATTTAATGCGAAAATGAATAGTAAAAATAAATTATATTTTGTTTTGATAGCATGTTACTTTTTGTGTTTTCTTTTCAGCTTCATCACTTTGAGAAATTGGCAAAACCTTCATGCAATTAGAAGAAACCATGCCTAACAATGTGTAATCTACTCTATAAAGCTCCATGTTTAATTAAGTATAATATTATACAAGTCAAAACATTTTTAAAAGACTAGTTAACTGATAATGCAAGTAATGACTACATTACCAAGTGGTTGCTATGGGTACAAGACTGTAAACATACATAGTAAGGAGGGAAAATGTATCCCTTAATTTTAATGAAAACCGTTGTATAGGAATTATAATAAACATGATTTTAACAAAAATGTAAAACAAATTGGTACTTCAACAAAACTTTTATTTTTAAGATTATAACTTACTTCATATTGTTAAGTACAAATTTTTTATGTCGTTTTCAATTAATAAAAATGAAGATTCCGTTACATCTGTAAGAATTTTGGCCACACTGTTTTCTGTGACTTCAGAAAACTCAGATTTATCTGAAATAAAATATAACTTATATTATGACTGATTCTTGTCGTTCTATTAATTATAGAAAATGTTTTTCTGAAGATGTTTTTAGCTAAAAACCATAAATAAATTATCAATAGGTTAGTTTGGATGTGGAGTAATACCTGAGTACCTAAAGTATCTAAGCATAGCAACTAGTTTCATAACACTTATTACAGTTGATTAAAACAGGAGACTCTATAAAAAAATGTTATAAATATAAATTATTTCTTAAAACATAACTTTTTAGTTCTATGATTAAGTTATATCTAACATTATAGGCTATGCTGCTATGGTTATTGATTATAATATAAAAGTCAAAAAAACTTTAACAATTTCAATAAAACAGTAACTAAACAACTACACCCTCTAAAACAAGTACTAAGCTTATAAATAAGTTTTATATTACCTTTAAATACTAAGTGACCAAACAATTCACAAGTTGCTGGAGAAAATTTATCCATACTTTTATCCCCTAGAAAATATTAACATTTTACAATTTTACATAAATAAGAAAACTCAAAAAGTATTATCATAAAAATACTAGAGATTATGAAATTTATAAAAACCTTAAAAAAATTTCATTTTCAAATTATTTTATATTTAATATTATAAATAAATATGTATACAAGGCCAGATCAAGATATTTAGGCCCAGCCTAGAGCGGCACTATAGTAAAGGCAGCATTTTCAAAACAATGGTTTGTATCTTTTTTAAATTTAATTATTTTAGGGGCGTACGTAAAATTTACCTGATGAAATTCTCGCCCAAATAAAAACTCTCACACAATTTCTTGAATTATTAAAATCGGTGACATTTAAATCTTTAACTAGTGCTCGGGTAATAAAAATATTATGAGGAATATTTTTTTGCTGAAGGTAATTAATCATGATATAAACTGTCCTAAAATATATAAATTATGTTATTATTTATCACGAATAATAATTAATCAATTTCAGTACAAGGACTACAATATTGAATTTACTTGACAAAATTGGACAGCAAGTCATTGCTTTTCAGTACAAATACAAATCCTTTGGAAGGATAATCTTTAATCTTATGACAAGGACCACTAAATTGTTCTATATCCTGAAAAATATTAAATAATGTAAGTGTGATATATTCTGTAGTCATATATTTGTCAATGGCTAAAATTATTCGATAAATTATAAATTGTTTAAATAAATTATGACACAATCTTCTTTGACCATAGTTTAGTTTGGACAATTGTATGATAAGAAATTATTAAATAATTTAAGTTTCACAGAAATTAACTAGATGCTTATAAAGTTATAACAAAATGTATTTTAATGAATTTATAATTTTTTTTTACAAACATTTTACCGAATATTTGTATTCAACATAATTTACATATTAAATACTAATTTAAGAATTTTTCACTTACACAATACTCAAGGTACATTTTATACTGTAAATAATACAGGTGTAAATGAAGATGGTTCACTGAAGCAAAAGCACATAAACTATTGAACCCAACGCGTATTGCCCTATAAATGTTTAGGGTATATAAAAGTTTAATATGATTGGTATAACTGTATAAAATTATAAGAATGGTAACTTACGGAGATGCACTTAGGAGTAACAATTGAATAGCAATATTCAAACTATATTCATCAATAACTTGAGGTAGTTTACTATTGATTTTTGGTAAAATTAATGAATGAAAGTCTCCTAAAGGACTTGCATTAATTGCCAAGGTATCATCTGTATCTAAATAAATCACACAATATTTAAAATGAACCATTCTTAAAGTACTTTTACAGTGGTAATATTATTTGTATTATTTATCTATTCAATTAAAAATAAAATGATTTTTCCTTTAAAATTATACATTTTTACTTGATATAAGGAACATACTTCATATGACTTCCAAGTATTCCATGATTTAAAATTAATTGGTGATTCTATATGATATTTATATAATAATAACAATAATAGTATCATATTTCTAAAGCTTGAATAATTATATGTAAATGGTTATTTCAATCTAGCATACACCTGTTTAATTAAAATTAATTAAATGTTTTTTACAGCTAAAACCTTTTTTTAATCTATCTACTATATTTTTAATTTATTGCCAAATGATTGAAATAATTATTCCTTAAAACAATAGTCTAAAATACCGCGTGACCGTGGAAACAACGTACACTTTATCATTCATTAATCTATAAATAATTTTCAATTCTGTTAGCGGGACATTTAACTAGGTTAATGGTTCATACATTTCTATAGTTTACAATTTTTTTAACTCATATATTTTAAGCATACGCAAAACAATTTAATTTTTTTTATGACAACCCCTATTTTGAATATAATTTTTGGATTAATTGTTTTTTTTTTAAAGTAATTATGGTTCATCAACTTGTATTCTAAATTCAAAATTAGAGCTATGTAGAGTTAAAAATAAATAAATTTACTAAATCAGATTTTTTTTTTCAACTGTACATATTTTTTCCTTCTAAACAACATGATACATTCAAACTTGTTATGATTAAATTAATAAATAAATTATTTTTTAAGAATTAGTAATTTATTTTATTATTAGACATTATGTAATCATGGTGTTTAGAAAGAAAAATATGCAAAATTAAAAAAAAAAAAGTTAAATGTACTAAATTTATTTATTTATTTTTAAATTATGCTTAGCTCTAATTTTGCAAATTTTGGATTTAGAATACATGTTGACAGATTAAAATTACTTGAAAAAAAAATCAATCCAAAAATGATATTCAAATTAAGGGTTGCTATTAAACGCTATTAAATGAGTGAAAAATTGAAAGTCATAGAAATGTATGGTCCATTATTCTATTAGTCTAGTTGAATGTTCCGCAAACATAATTGAAAATTAATTACAGGGTAGTGAGTGATAAAGTGTATTCTGTTTCTACAGACACATGGTATATATTAAAGATATTTTATTTTAGGTTTTTGTGCGGTTTAAGGAAAAACACTCACAGCTACCTATTTAAACTTTAAGGATAAAATATGGTACATAAATAAATGTACAGAATTCAAACATCAGGCTTTCAGGTAATATTGCCATGGTAATCTGATGATTATATCATGCCTAAAGAGCAGAAAAACAGAACAGAAGCAGCAGCAGCAGCAAAACCAGAGAAAGATCTAGATAATATTTGAGTACATTCATATCAATTTTATTTGGCATTAATGTAGATTATAATAATAATTCAACAATAAATTGAAAACTAAATATATTTTAAGGACCCTCTACAGAAAATGTTTGGTTGCATTTCTGAAACATAGTATGAGGTAGTAAATTGAATGATGGTTTATTTGAAATAAGTAATTAAACTTACTAGAAGAAATATTTGATGCATGACTGAATTTGAATAAATATTCTCCTGCATTGACCTTTGTAAAATTGAACAAATCATCATTAAACGGTTCTAACACATTAGCAAATATGTTTGGTTTACGACGTTTGGTACCTCTATCAATGTTTAACTATAATAACAATATTTAATGAAATTATAATTTATTAGAGCTTAGTAATAAGTAGGTGAAATTACAATTTATATTTATAGTATAGAGCAATGGTTGGCAAATAGAGGTCCAAATCGGGTCTGTAAAAGGTAGACAACTGGACTGTCTCCTATATTTAAATTATATTTATTAATTTAAAATTATCATCATATAAATTAATAGTAAAAAGAAAATGTATATTTTAATTCATTCATGAAACTCTAGTAGGAATTGTTATTTTAAAATAATATGCCTGCAACAGTCAACACCATTGACAATTCAATACCTATAGTAACTTTTTCAATAAATTCACTATAGCTCGCATAGGTATGATATTGTAAATTTACTAGTGATACAGAAATAAAATTAAGGATTTAAAAAACAATACTTAAAAATTAAAATATTATGTACAACTTTTTAAAATTATTAAATAATACTTATAGGAGATGCTAACATAAAATAAATAATTTAATTGTAACTTTGACCAAATTGTAATGTATTTAATAACAAGATACCTTCACGGCGACAAATGACGTTATCATTAGTGAACCCTGCTAATACATTTATGTAACAGATTTAATCATTCGTTTTTAAGATTTTGATACAATAAAAAGTATAGGTACCTACTATTATAACAGAATTTATTTTTCTAACCTTGTTTATTTTATTATTTTCATCATCCAGACACCAATAAAAATATACTTGCCAATCCCTGATAGGTATAGATAATTTAATAAACTTACAACTGCGAGAAAACCATACTTTCCAGGCAACATGGTTGCATTTTCTTCTTTATATTTGTACCTAAATAGCCCTTCATCTTCCTTTTCTCTCCATAGACTTTTTAAAGTTTCATCAAATTTCGAATTGACAGATAATGATTTCCATGATGTTGTCAATATTAAATCTTTGTCATCGTAATAAAACATTTCTTGAATAATTGATTTTTACCAGGTGTCTAGATTAGAGTTTATGAAGTTTAAATTTGACGTCAGTTATTTAAATTCTAACTAATTATAATATAATACCTATTTATTATATATTCATATCTTTTTTATAATCTGAGATATTATATAATAATAAATAATAAAAAATAAAAATCCCAAGGAAAGTTAAACTCCAAGACTTGGTTAGCAGTTAGCACGTAGAATACATTATACTCAGTTTAAATAGTTTTATGTTTTTATCATTAAAGCATGAGTTTGACTATTATCTATAAACATTCCATGTGATATGAAAAAAACAGCTGTTGATATGTATTTATTTACTGTTTTCCAAATTAATACATTTATTAGCTCTTACTTGGACGAGTGTCACTTAAATCAAATTAGATAAGAACGAAATATGTACCAATTATAGTACAATTGTACAATAGGTAGTAGGTATTATAATCTAGGTTCCTACCTACTTTTAAATCATAACTGTACGTCCAATTCTTGTTTCCTATATGGCTACATATAACATAGGTAAGACGTAATAAACTTACTTAATGTACCTACTTACGTCTTACCTCCTTATATAATTTATAATTTGAAAAAGCGTACAAGACAAGTAGACTGTAGCCTGTAGGTAATCGCTCTACTGAGTCTACTGTAGTACTGTACAGTTGTAGGTAGCTAGTAGGTAGATGTCAAGCGCGCCTCGTCAGTATATTGGCGCACATACGGAGGTGCTTAGCACCTCCAGATTATTTTGAGTTACAAATATTATGTAAAGTGTAACTTTGGGTTTATAAGAATGTGTTTATTCCAGTTTGTATTGGTAATGCATTAATGCCACGGTCATATATTTCCTATTTAATTTATTTATTTTAAATTGAAAAAACCAAAAATTATGGAACTACTGAAAATGTAGATGCCCGATCGCACCCCTTGTTCATCCATGAATGTAATAATCGTTGTAATAATTGGTTATAATATATCGTCAAAAAAAGATTGTTGATTGAAAATCAGATTCAATACTTTAATTTTTTTCTTACTTTTTGACAACTCTAATTCATAATTTTATTCGAAATGATATTAATTGATGCCTAGTGCCTTAGTGTGTATTACCGTATAGCCGACAGCCGTATTGGGGGTGATGGGGCAAAGCCCCGCACGGGTAACATTGGGATAAAACATTTTAGCACTCCCAAGTTTAAGACTGAATGTGCACCTATGCGTCATTGACCAAGTCACCGTATGGAAGTGTTAAATTTGAATTCAATAATAAATCGATGTAGGTAGGTACCTGCTTACGATTAAAACGAATCTCAGTGATGGCGATAGTCAGCTTAGTATAATATATCTACAAAATAAACATTATGTTGACGGATTTTGTATTTTTGTCAATGTCTTAAGTTCATGGGTACCTCTCCTTATAAAAAATTATTGAGGCTTTAAAATTGCTATAAGAATAACTTGCTAGGAAGTAGGAACGTTTTATTAAATATTCCAAATTTTTTACACACAATCGAAAATATTGTCATATATATTAAGTTGAATAAAGCTTATTAGTCAACAATTTCAAATGTCTATAAATAGTTCAAAATGAACCAAAATATGTTTAAGCTGCATAAACATTAGTATCTAAAAGTTAAAACACAAACATTAGATATATAGGTAGGACCTACTTACTGCTATTGGTGTAGAAGTGTAGACAATAGTCAATAGGGTTGAAGAATGTAGATTTCAGTTCTCCTATAGTTCTGTGACCTGGATATGATATGCATATGCGTGATCAGACTATTAAAGCAGGTAGTGCTCATATATATAGTATCATCGGCTTCGACCCCCCCCCCCAGGCAACAATTTATTTTATAAATACAACACATTAACATTTTTTTTAAAAAAATTTTCCCTTATAACGTTTTGAAGTTTAGCTACATCATATACCTACACAACATTTAACCACAAAATGTAGATTCAATATACTAAACTACAGAGAGTCAATTTTTTTCAAATAAGCTTTAAAAGTATCTTAAATTGTATTTGGTTATAATTTAGGTATGTTTATGACATATACAGGTATCGATAATATGATTGAGACATAGAGTGTTTCGGCTCATCATGAAAAATCACACCTGTTCCTGTATAGATGTATGACTAAATACTCGTATAGCTCGATATATATTAAATACGTAAATACTAAATAGATAATAGCTATAATAGATACTTATTTAATTTTTTATAATTTTTGAAATCTGATACTTATAATGTCTATATAAATACTAGTGTCTAGCACTAATTCAAGTTATTATAAACCTACGAAATACGCTCGTCGCTCATTTTAACAATATATTATAGTAGCTAGTAGGCTACCTCCTTATTAACGTGTACCTAATAGTCCTAATATTCGTTAGGTAAGGTCTTAAGGAGGTACTAAATATGTACTTATTTAGTTATGTACCCATAAAACCATCTCGAGATCTTTTTAAAGGTAAAATATGCAGGTACTATAATTTCTGATGTTCTCTATTCTTTGAAATAAAAATAAAAATTTCTTAGTACCTAACTATATGCATTTTCTTGTAAGACATTCTGAAGTAAGGTCATTCATTTAATTATTTAAATTTAAATTCACGGGTAAGTATTAAATATTTTTATTTGCATCAAATATTCGTAGTACTATATACTTGTATGGATACTGAGCCGGTAGAGGCATTAGTATTTTTTTGTAAGTAGCAAGGTACCTACCTATAATAATAATATTATGCATAATTTGCCAGAAACAAATTATCTACTAAAAATTCAAGGAAAGTAATAGCCAATATGACGTATATAATATTGGTAGGTTGTTGGTACCTACTACAAACTATACGGTAAAGTCTGATTATAAACCTACGCCTATGCCCTATACATAATTTTTTTCATCATATTATATAGGTAATAATATATTAATAAATAAGTATAAAGACATATTTGTATAAATACATGCATTTAAATAAAAATAAAATAACTATAGAAAATAAAAGAATGTTGATTTACATTTAAGCGTAAAATATGTTAGATAATGAACTAGAATGTCGCAGCTAGTCGACTGGTCACGAAAATATTGTGATAAAGATTGATTAAGACAAAATTCAAGCAGTTTGATCAGTATAGTATTGGTAATCATTATTTTGTTTTTGTGAACCATTTTTTAATTAAAATAATATCATTTAACTACGAGATTTTTCCTGCTATATTGGCGTACATTTTTAATGAAAAACATTAATTAGTGGCAACTGGCAATGGTGATGTTATTGTGGTGACTAGTGACAATATGACATTTTAGATATTAATTTGTTGTCACGCTGTAATATTGTGTTGACATTCTATTATACAGTGATCAGAATAATTCTCAACAAAATATTTTAATTAATCTCCTACCTACATACAAATAAACAAAATTTGATAAAAATGATAAAAATGATTGATATGAATTTTGTTTAAGTTGGGTATATATTTTTTTTTTTTGCATAAAGTAAATCTTTGAATGTATACACATTAAGTATAAAGTGTTGACAAAAACATTAGACATTTTCCATACTACTAGGTAGTATAATATATAATACCTGGCACCTGCTGGCTTATAATAACTATAACTTACTAATAAATAATAATTTAGTATTTAGTACGATCCAGTCACTCAAGTACTCAAAATATATAAATAACAGTATCTATACCATTCACTTCATCGCTATTTCCTTAATTATCCTATTATTTAGATCGCATATAATTATTATATGCAATCATTTTCAAACATCGAAGTTTCAGGAAATTATAACAATCGTTATCTATAATAGATTTTTTATTTTTCTACAGAATATCATATCAATAGATTCATTGAGGCTTGGAAGATGTATCTAGTTTTTTTTTAACCCTAACAGTGTTGGTATAGGTATTTTAAATGTATGTGTTAATTATAAATCAATGATCAGAGTACATTGATTATATATGGTTGACAGGTGTAGAACCATTGATTTAGAAAATTTGATAGGTATCTGCTTATTATTTGAAAATTGAAGAAACCTCAAGGTAAAATTAGACTAATTCAATAAGATATTTTGCTGTATGCCAGATTTCCAAGCAATTACAATACCTAAAATGAAAACATGAATACTTATTTGATATATTTCAATTACTGGTGTCTAATGACCGATTGGCTAGTAATTAGTACTCATATGTAGGTACGTCCAATAAATTACTAATTACTAATTAGTATGCATAATACATGAGATATTTACTACACTTAATTAAGTTTTAATAAAAAAAATGTTACAAATATTATGAATCCAATTTCATATTGTGTTGTCTTTACATTTTTATACCTAAAATAAAATATAAACATTTTCAAAAATGTACATTATCAAGATAAATCCCGTGTAACCATAACAGTTCATCATTTCGCTATTGACCGGCATTACTATTTAATAATTGTAAAAACCAAAATCGGAACCGAAACCAATAAAATCATTAAGTTCTAGTCTTTGCTTAAAAATCACGTTACAAACAATAATAAAAAGTAAAATCGATATGAGTTACATTTTTAATTTAATATAAATGAAAAAAATATTTATTCCATCTATCTGTATATATTATATAAATGTATAATATATTAATATGTCTAACATATGGTATGTTTCTACCAGTAAAAACAGCAATAATACTGTTGAAAATATTTTGTACCTATACCTATATTATATGCGGTAAATTGTGATGGAGGCATTTTCACCTCAATTGACAATTGTGAATACAATAATTTGTTACAGGAAAAACATAATATAAATTACATTATTTTTAAATTCCAAAAATTTAATTTTTCAATTTAAAAACAGTTAAAAATATTGATGATTACTTTTCTTAAAACTCATTAATACTCATTACTCAGCCTTGAAGAACTAGGCGCACGCTCTTCGGCGTAGGCGCGAGCTCGAATTGTGTCCCCGAGAGATCCCGACCGCACACCGATCTCTCCTATAAATTTCACACCTCGAAATAAATAATTAGGAAAGTAAAATATTTTCAGGAAACCCGAATTTATAAAATATGTTACCTATAGCTTATGAGTTAAAACACTTAGTATTTATTATAACTTACAAGTCCTAACAATGCGTCATCGCCCAGTACAACAGTGGAATAAGGCAGAGGTTCCCAAACTTCTTATTGTGCGACCCATTTTGAATTTTTTTTTAAATATAGCGACCCACAA